ATAACTTTCGTTGGATTTTAATATCGTGCTTCTTTAAGAAGTCATGGCTGACTACACATCCCGAAGCTTCAGTATCTACAATGAGATCAATGGGTATCGTCCCAATTTTGGCTTCGCACCAAGCTGAAATAGTTTTCTTAGTATGACTAATCATTCCCGTAGTTCTCCTTGTAGTCTTCCTTCTAATAGGTCGTCTCATTCCTTTTGATATTTTTATTCATTGTTCTGGAAAGGTCTTGATGAGTTGGGCGATTGTGATGTTGGTCTTGGTGGTAGCGAGATTATCTAAGATGTCATAAGGAACGGCGCGTGATGCTAATATAGGTAGTTCAATTTTGATTTTCTTTTTCTTTTTTTTATCTTCGAGTTTACTTATCACTGAGTTTTGGTCGATTATAGGTTCATCATTCCACTCGATAGTTTGATCTGTATTATCTTGTGCGTCATCTTTTTATTCCAGCCTTGCTTGTTTGCGTCCTCCTACTATATAGTCATACATTGCCAAGAGTAACAATATCGACGCATCAGGAACAATAGCTTGAGGTGTTTGAGTTGCCTATAAAGCAGTCATAAGCGTTTGAATCTGTGAGAGTAGTGTATTAGTATTAGTCAAATAATTATTATTTATGGCCAGGACTAGACTTGGAATTGTCTTGGTTGGTACAAAGGAGTCATTGCTTTCAAAGATCGAATTTGTATTATAAGTTAGTTGTCGGTTTGGTTAATCATTCATCCAGTAATTGTTGTTATTAAGAGGATTCATACAGTATCGTTGCATATGACTGGTCTGGTCACATCAGTAACAAGTTATTCAGCTTCCATAATTCTGTTGATTATGACTCTGATCATACGTTCGTGGTGGATAATTTGTCTTCCTTGCGATTTCCACTTGTTCTAACCTGTTGGTTAGACTCTGAAGAGTCTGGTTTAGAATATTAAGATCGATGGTGGGTGTTGCCTGATTCTGATGGAAAGTCTTCATTGGTCCATTAGTACCAGCCTCTTCGATAGTTTTGGCCACTTCGATGATATTATTTCACGTTCCGTCTGAATTTATATGTACTCACTTTCTAATATCTGGCTTGAGTCCTCTTTTGTAGGTACGTGTCTTGTAGTCTGCTGGATAATAATCATTAGGATCAACTTTCTTTATAAGTTAGACGAACTGGTTTGTATATTCTTCTATGGTTCCATCTTGCCTCAGAGTTTCCAATTCCTCTTGCCATTGCTTTACTTTCCTATTCATTCAGAACTTTAAGGTAAATCAGTGTTTAAAATCATGTTCATCATTTTGTTGGTTTATCTAATTATTTAATTAAAGATTATTGTCAGTATTTCTCTAATCAAACCAGGCGGTAGCAGTTCCTTCAAGATATCCTCTTATGATTTGAATTTTCCTTTTATCAGTGATTCCATTAGCTCGGATAGCAATCTCAAAATCCTGGAGTCACTTGACTGGATCCTGGTTTTCATCTCAGAACTTCTTAATTGGAATGAGGATCTTTTCTGGTCATTGGGCCAATCCAGCGTTCATGACATTAGTGAGTTCAGCCAGGGCTTGGACGAGTTCGTTCATATGTTCTGCCATTTCATTATCTTCTTCATTTTCTAATTCTTGATTTTCAATTTCATTTACTTCAGAACTTTCACTTTGGAATACAATTCATTCGTAGCTGTCTTTATTACTAGTTTCTGTATTCATTTCCGTTCTATAAGTGGTTTATTGAAAATAGGGTATGGTCGAGAAAATAGTGGTTTGCAGTGCTATAAATTTAAAGAGTTCACAAAGGGAACACCAAGAATATCACAGATTGATCGTGATTAGGTGTAATCGATAATTTTGTCTATAACAATAAGTTGGGGAAAGTAATTAGACTGAGTAGTATTCGGACGTTTCTAATTCCTGTGTCAATATCTATGAATATTGTTCAATATGATGGTAGAGAGGGGAGTTTAGTTGAATCAGTTTGTAGGTAAGATATTTTTGGGTTTAAGTTTTTATATAATGAATTATTGATAATATTCTTCTTATTAACTTTCAATCTTTGCTTTTTCTAGCTAAAAGCCTTAAACTGTTCAATTATAAAGCGCTTTTCTTAATTAATCAATCAATATGTCGTTAATAACATTAATGCCTTTCTGAATTAAAGAACCTAACCATAATCAATTACAACAATTTTACAAGTATAATTTACTTGGAGAAGAATTATACACAATTTAATTCTATATTTTTATTAATATCCGCGAGGACTATATATACATATTTTTGATTACATTATGAAATATTGTTTACTTGCTGCATAATGTACTCTATTATTTAAGAGAGAATTTAAGAATGAAAAAAAAATAGAAAACAAGAGCAAGATCAAAAGCAAAATAAAAATATAAAACAAAAGTACAAAACAAAAGTGAAATAAAAATATAAAACAAGTGAAATAAAAATAGAATTTTAAAGTGAAATTAAACCAACAAAATCAGGTTAGGCAAATTTATCAAAATTGAGAGATTAGCAAAATTATTCTTAATCTGGTAACAATATTTAATTTATAATAATAATAAATAAACTAATAGCTTTAATAATAGTACTTTAATTAATATTATTAATTTATATTTTATAATTAAATATAATTAATTATTTTTATAGATAATTATTATTTAAAGTATAAATAAATATTTTTAAATATATTTAATATTTATAAATATTATTAATTATTCTTGAATATTTTAGCAAAAAAAATTAAAATATTAAATAGAAGTATAATAAAATATTATTAAAAATAATATTATTTAAACTAAATTAAAAAATATAAAATATAAAAAATGAACTAAATTAATATATATATATAATTAAATAAAATATAAAAATAAAAAGAATAAATATAATATTAAAAATTAAAAGAATAAAATAAATAAGTTTATTATTATTTTTTATTTAATATTATAATCTATTATTAATCTATTTATTAATTATTTAATATTTTTAATATATAATAATAATTAAAAATACTAAATAACAAAAAAATATCAATTAAATACAAAAAATATAAATTTTCTTTATATATAAATATTTTTAATTTTACTAATTAATAATTTAATTTTATACAATATTTTCTAAATTAATATAAATTTTATAATTTAAATATATAAAAATATTAATTTATAATAAAATATAATAATATTAAAATTTAGAATAAAATATAGTAAAAGATTTTTTTTATATAAAAGTTATTAATTTTAATATTAAAATAAAATAATATTATATATTTTAATATATATTTTTTCAGATTTATCCTGATCAAGTTATTTTAATTATATATATATAAACTTAATAATCTTTTATAATTATAATATAAAATATATATTGAAAGAATTATTAGTAAAATTAAAAACTTTTATATAAAGAAAATATTTGTATTTTATTATATTTTATTAATAAATTTTGATACTATTATATTATTTTTGATTGTTATTATAAATATAATATATAAAATATAATTTAAAAAATTTAACATATTTATATTAAAATATATAATATTATTTTTATTTTTATATATTTGCTAATATTTATTTTATTATTTTATTATTTTATTATTATATTATTTTTAATTATTATTATATATTAATATAATTATTTATTTATATATAAATTATTATTTTATAACTATTTTATTACGATTATATTTATATTTTAAATATATTATATATAATAGAATTAATTTTATCTTTATAGTAATTGCTTAAATTAATTCTAATTATTAATTTGTAATGAACTGGATAATTATATTAATAAAATACTATATTAATATCAAAATTATCAAATATAATAAAATAAAAATATATATACTATATATTATATAATTTTATCTATAGCATTTTTAATTTTATTTAAAAACTTATTTAAATTTTTCAATTATAGAATATTAAAAAATAATATATAAAATTTTTATAAATTGAAGAATTAGCTTGCTATTAAATACTATAAATTCACAAAAAATAAAATATTATTTATAATATTATAAATTATTTATTAGCAAATAAGAAATATTTTTTTTGATTAATGTTATATATTGAAATATTGCGAATTTATTTAGAAATAAATCAAAAATATAGCAAAATATACTAATACATAATAATTAAAAATATAATAAAAAATATTAATAAATAAAAATTAGAAAATATACTAATTTTATTAAAAAATAAATAAATAAATATATATTAACTAAAATAAAATAAAATATAAATAAATAAAATATATTAAAATTGCTTTAATAAAAAATTATTTTAAAGTTTTTATATTTTAATAAATAAGTAATATTTATAATAGAAATACTAAATTATTTACAAATTAAAATTCCACACTTAATATTTAATTTTTTATAGAAATTATTCTTTTTTAATAGTATTATTAATGAAAGTACTTGAAAAATTATAGAAAAAATTATTAAAAGCAAAATTAATATTAAATTAAACTTTAACAGATTTTAGTTGTTATAATAGTCCACTGGAAACAAAAATTGACAACTCTATTTTTTAATATACAGTTAGATCTTTATAAAAAAAACTCTTTATAAAAGAAATATCTCTATATAAGAACATATTTTTGAGAACTAATTAATTAGTATTTATATTAAAAATGATCTCTATATAAAAACAATATCAATAATAGAACACAATTTGGCTGTTTCAACTATATTTCTTTATGGAGATCCAACTGTATTCGCATTCACTATAAAAAAATATTTGAGATTAGTAAAGATAAAAAATTTTTTATCTTGGTTTGAAGTTGATTAATTTTTATAAGTAGGTTTATTATAATTGAGTAATCATGTAAACAGAACAGCCAAATGCAATTATATAAGCAAAACATCTAATAGAAATGCAATCACATAAGCAAAACAAAGTTTTGTAAATCTCATAATATTATAAAAAGTAATATATTATAAATCACATGAAAAATAAATAGTTTGATTGCTTAGTTCAATTATTACATTATAAATCATATGAAAAATAAGTATATTTTATTGGTTAGATTATTATTAAAATCTGTGGTTTCAAAATTGACGTTATGGCGCAGTATTAGATGGCTTTTCATGTCTTACTATAACAATAAAAGATAAAAATTATTCAGGTGCATTGTCCGATTGAATGCTTTTTCGTATCTTTTTGCATCTCGATTCCATTTTGGTAACATTATATTGTCCATCCTCTGATTTCAAATACCACTCAAATGCTTACTTTCCATCATTTTATTCCGATTCCTTCATTATAACAAATATCAAGATTATATTGTCCTCTTTCATTGCCACCTTCTGCTGATTTCAAATACCACTCAAATGCTTTATTATCATCTTTTTGTGTTCCGATTCCATTTTGATAACATACACCAACATTACATTGTCCATCTGTATCTCCACCTTCGGCTGATTTTAAATACCATTCGAATGCTTTCTTTTCATCTTTTTTTGTGCCGACTCCATTTTGATAACATACACCAACATTACATTGCCCATCTGCATCTCCACCTTCTGCTGATTTCAAATACCACTCGAATGCTTTTTTATCATCTTTTTGTATGCCGACTCCATTTTGAAAACATATACCAACATTACATTGTCCAGCTGCATCTCCACCCTCTGCTGATTCTAAAAACCACTTGAATGCTTTCTTTTCATTTTTTTGTGTTCCGATTCCATTTTGATAACATACACCAACATTACATTGTCCATCTGTATCTCCACCTTCTGCTGATTTCAAATACCACTCAAATGCTTTACTATCATCTTTTTGTGTTCCGATTCCATTTTGATAACATACACCAGTATTACATTGTCCTCCCGCATCTCCACTCTCTGCTGATTTCAAAAACCACTCGAATGCTTTTTCCTCATCTTTTTGTGTTCCGATTCCATTTTGGTAACATACACCAAGACCGCGTTGTCCACTTGCGCTTCCACCCTCTGATGATTTCAAATACCATTCGAATGCTTTCATCTCATCTTTTTGTGCTCCAATTCCATCTGCATCTCTTTCGTAAGCAAGTTGTTTATTTAGTAAATTCAACAAATCATCACTAATTTCCGATGTGTTTTTTGGTTCTTCATGATATGATGCTAAATTTTCACAATAGCCTTCTTCACATGATGAATATGAAATTTCCGATAATCGTTCTTTAGAGATTGATGACAATGTCCCGGAACTCAAAGTAGATGATCCAGAGGTTGACAATGAAGCTTCTGGTGATGACCAAACTATTGCTTTTAGATCTCGGTTTACTTTATCTATAGTTGGGCGATTTGCTGGTGTATTATCCCAACATTTTTGATAGAGCTCGATATATTCAGGAGGAGTTCCAAATATTGTCATTTCTTTTTCTTCATGAACATATCCGTATCTATTAAGTGGAGGATAACCGCTAGAAATCATCCATAATAGAACGCCGACGCTGAAAATATCAGATTTTTCATCTCGTCGAAAATTACTCATATCTTTTAGAAAAGCTGGATCTATATAGCTTATAATGCCAAGCTCAGTCCCTGAATGTGTTTTATCGTTGGAAAGTTTCGAATATCCTAAATCCGAAATTTTAATATTCCCTTTATGCACGAGTATATTATTATGATTCTACAAATCAATATAAGAAGTTGTTTATAAGTAACAAATTCAGTTAAAATTAATAATTTTTCTTAGATATATTTACCAAATCCCGATGAATAATGCCCTCATAATGTATACATTTTACTCCTTCTGCAAGTTGCTTAGCGAGATTTTGCTTATCATAGCCACTCAAAGTCACAAAATTTGATTTGAAATAATCTTGAAGAGTTCCACCGTCAGCGTATTCCAAAACAAGCATATATTTTTCTGAAAAAGGTTCTGTGTATAGTATTATTTAGAAAATCAAGTTTAACATCATTTTTATTACTTGCTTTAGAGAACAAGATTTTACCCTTAGTGATGCCATAGAACCGAATAATATTTGAATTGTGATTAACCTTGATCAAGATTTTCAACTATAACGATAACGATAAGTGAAAGTTTTAGTTAAATTAACTTATATTTAAAAGACATGAATTCTAAATTAAGTACTTCGTTAATAAATTGTATATAAGAATCCTCTTTGCTTTGGTCATTTTTTATATAAAGACGTTTCAAGGCGACCGTTTTTCCGCCTTTTTTCGATTCTGCTTTAAATACTTCGCCGAATGCTCCATTTCCAATTACATTTATATCAACGAACTCTTTTTTAAACTCAAAAAATTTTATTTGATTTTCTGATATTGCGGTCTCTAGCCATTCATTCGAAGACGAAAATAATGACATTTTGATAATTAATTGAATAAAAATACTGTTTAAATTAAATAATCACACCGATATCTATATGCTGATTTAAGAATGCTCTTTATCGTTATCTTATGTAACAATGTACAGTGCGATAAGATGTCTATTGAAATTTCCGGTAACGCAATGAATGAATTTCCTTCCGCAGTATGGGCTAATTTATGAGCCAAATACATGTACATGTATAAATCGTTTTGGGAGTCAGCCCATACAAAAAGATCCCCCACCCACAGTAACACAAATACGGGAAACAAATGACTAAATCTAACTTGGAGCACTAATCATAAATGTCAGCGGAGGAAATTTTACATATAATTACCTTTAATTATTGTCATGTGCCGGGTTAGGTGGGCACTGCCCTCCATTGGCGCAATACATATATGGAAGTTGATATGAAGGGTAAATCACTTATCGTTAAAAGAGGAATTTTTGAATGATCCAGCGGCAGTGGTACATGAACATACTATTTCTAAAAAAGGCTGGTGTGAAAAACATTGTGTTTACATTAAAAGTCCCGGATTTTCCAAATGCAAAAAAAATGAGTTCCGAACTTTTCCGAATGTTACACATGCTTTTTAATTTCCGCAAGTCTTGTGATATAGGGTCGATCATTAACTTGTGATTGATTAGAAACTGGTACATGTAATTTTTTGTGTAGCATCACATACGAAAATTAACCTAGCATTTTTATTTCCATGACATTTAGTTTGGACAAAATAAAAGTGTTCATTTGAAACCCTGAAACCTCTAATATTTTTTAAAAATAATTTGACAACAGATTATTTTGTGAAATAG